GGGGAGCATGATGGAGGACACCCAGGCCGCCTGGCTGTAGCCCGCGCCGAAGTCGCGCATGAGCGCGCGGAAGAAGACGCTCACGGCCTTGGGGAAGCCGTAGGCGAAGCCGGTGACGACGGAGCAGGCGCCCAGCACCGCCCAGCCCCAGCCGCCGTCGGGGGGGCCCTCGCCCCGCCGGGGGCCGCCCGTGCCCATGGCCTCAGCCTCTGCTGGGGGAGAGGAGACGAGAGGGAGCAGCCAGGGGGTCACCCGGACCCGGGGAGGGAGACCCAGCCGGGGGAAACGGAGGCACCGGCCGCCCCACCGGAGCCCTGCGCAGGGAGTGAGGCCCAATTCCCGCCTCCCGGGGCACGTGAGGGAGGAGGGGGACAACAGTCGGTCCCACCTGAGTCCTGACTTCCGGAAGGCTCTATGGGGGGCACCCCTTGCTCTTCAAGGCCTGGTGGCGGCAGGAGAGGGGGTGCTGGTGAGTGGGGGAGCCTGGCAGCCAGCGTGTGCCTGGCAGTGTGGGGTCCCCAGCGAGCATGTCTGATGTTGGACAGAGGAACAAGCATGGGGGGGGCGGGGGAGGGGGAGAAACAGGCACCAGCAGCGAAATGGGCAGAGATGCCCCCTTGGCCTGTGGTGTGTCCTAATTCCTCAATGACCAGGAGTGACCGTTGTCATTGGAATATTATGGGGGGAGGGGGACGGCAGTGCGTGTATACAGAGCATTAGCCTGGGAGCCGAGTTCCAGCTCATCCAGCTCAGCCATGGATCTGCTGGGTGGCTTGGACAGGCCCCGCCCCTGCGAGCCTCAGTTTCCCCACCTGTAAGATGAGGGACTGATCACCCCAGGCCAGCAGGGACTCTTGGGGTGGGGTTGGTGTCTGGCTCTCACTGGGCAGGTGGGGACCTTTAGGCGGCACCAGGAGAGCCCTTCTGCCCCCTGAACCCCTAGCAGCCTCCCCAACCCCTGCACATGCCGGAACCCACTCAGAAGCCTGTCACACTCCTGGGCTCAGCCCAGGGGTTCACGCGGCAGCCGCCTGTGTCCCCCATCCCCCGGGATGGACCAGCCTCCCCACTGCAGCCCCTCCTCACCTGGGCCTCCCTCCTGGTATTGGGCGATGCCCAGGGACCTGTGGGTGTCGGAACTCTGCCCCTTCCCCGCCAGGACAGGTCTGGCCTTCCTGCCTGCTGCCCTCTTCTCATGAGACAGGGTGGTCCCTGGCAGCCTCGCCCCACACTCACCGGAGCCGTCCTGTGGGTTTGGGCGTCCAGCCTCACATCTGAGGCCTGCAGGCCTCCCCAGTGTACCCCAGCCTGGTGGGGGGGGGGGTGCAGCCAGACTCCCAGGCTTGCCTGCAGATCAGCCACTGGCCTGGCTCTCACCCCAGGCCGGGGGCTTAGAGCAGTCCCTCCCCCACGCCTAAGAAGCTTTTCCTGGGAGGGGTGAAGGGACAGGGGGCCCCGGGGCTGCCGGGGAGCTTTGGACAGATGAGGCTCCACGTTCTGGGGCCCCAGGAGGACACACAGAGCCCTGTTCTGGTGGGGGTCCTGCTGGTGCTGGGGGCACAGCCTTGTCCTGGAGAGACACCTCCCAGGCCCCAATCACCTCAATGCTCATAGCCCCCCACCCCCGGGCACATTCCAGGAAGGGCCTCTGTGCCTTCCCCTGGATAAGGCTAATCCAGGAGAGCCCGGGACGGGGCAGGGAGGGCGGAACAAAGGGCGCTGTGTCCCAGGCCACCGATGGGCCCCCGACCTTGGCCACTGCCACCCGCTGCCCCTGGAGAGGCAGCTATTTCCTGAGGCTGGAGATGGAGGAGGGGGAGGGCTTTGAAGGGGACTTAAAGGCGTGTGCAAATGAGGGCTGTGAAGGGATCAGAGGGGTGAGGCCTCCCAGGCACCTGCCGGTGACCCCATTCTCCGGTGGGAGGTCTCCATGCCCACCTGCCCAGCCCCCCGACCAGAGAGCACCAGTCCTGCTGCCTGTCCACTTGCTTTATTTCTCACTGTTTACAAAAGTTAAAAGGGGACAAGTGCGGGCGGGGGAGGGTGTGTAAGGGGCTCCTCCCCACTGGGGTGGAGAAGGGGAAAGAGGATGGGGGCATGAGGTAGGCCCCCAGGGAGAGTCCTGGGGCCCCTGGACGGGAAGAAGTGGTGCTGGCCCCATTCCGCCTGCTTTATTTTGAAGGTCCCAGACCCCATGTCGGGGACCTCAGAGCTGCTCAGGCTGGGGGCTTGGTCAGGGGAAGGGCGCCCCCCACCAGGATCAGGGCCCCGGCGTCTCGGATCCACGGCTGCTGCTGCTGCTGCCGCCAGCTCTGGGCAGCTCCTGGGCAGGTGGCGGGGCGACCTCAGACCCCTGATGCAGGAAGGCCCTCAGCGGATGAGGGGTGCCGAGCGGTCATTGGTGACAGTGGGACGCAGCTTTACGGTGGCAAAGGGGTTAGTGCCCCTGTGGGGGGAGAGGTCAGAGCGAGGTCTCCAGCTGGCTGTGGGTCCAGGGAAGGCACCTGGACACCTGAGCCAGGTGTCCACCCTGCCTCCTGTCCCCGTCACCTGCACTCACCCCCACCCTGTCTCCCTCTACCGAGTCCAGTCCCCGCTGGCCCAGTCCTGCCCCAGACTCACCGAGGGAAGAGCTCTGGTGGCTGCTGCTCCCAGGACATGAGCTTCTGCAGGGGAGGGAGGAAGGGCCGAGTCTGGAGGGGAAGGGGCCAGCCAGCTCCTGCCCCTCCCTCTCCCCCTCTAGGAGGGAGAGGCCCCCCAGTGCCAGGCTCTGGGCGTGCAGCCCTGGCGTCCTGAGGCCCAGGATTCTGTGGGTTTCAGACTTGGGAAAGAGGATGGGGGCAGGACCATCTCCAGGGCCAGAGGACCATCTCCAGGACAAGACGGCGGTGGCCTCATGGGGAGCCGTTCCCTGTGTCTACCCAACCCCGGCTCCGACCCAGGACCCTGGTGTGTCCTCCCTGGGAGGCAGGGAGGACAGGCCTTTCCCAGTGCTCCCGGCAGGGCACCTGGGGCTCTAGTCCCCGACATGAATACATCCCCCACCCACCCGGCGTCAGAAGCTCATCCCACCCCTCCCTGCACAGACGGGCAGACTGAGGCCCGGTGGAGGGGCCCCTGCCAGACACAGTGGGAAAGCAGAGAGGGTTCCGGGGTCTGCAGTCTCCCTGCGCACTGGTGACCCGGGTGCGGACAGCCTGGGGAGAGGGCTCACCTTGATGTCACTGGCCACCCCCGTGCTGCCCATGCTGCCTCGGCGGCTGCCAGGCAAAGGTGTAGGTGCGGGGCTGGGGGCGCGGCTCGGGACCCGGCTGGGAGTTCGCGAGCGGGGCTGGCCGTCCCAGTACTCTGAGGGCGCTGTGGCGTTGCCCGGCCGGTCCAGGAGGTCGTCTAGGCTGTGGCTGCCCCGGAGCGGGTAGGACCTGAGCCCAGAAAGGAGGGGAAGGGAGGGGGTCAGGGGTCAGGCCCCATCTTCTGGGCCCCTGAGCTTCCTACAGCCTCCTCCCGGCGCCTGGGAGAGGAGACTGTTGGCTTGCAGGCAGCCCTGAGGAGGCAGAGGGATGGACACAATGACCTTCACAGTTAGAGAGACAGGGTGCCCTTTCTCCAGAGGCTACAGGGGGGTGGGCCCACTCAGGACTGCAACTCACAGATAACCCCCTGATGGGTGGGGTCACCCCCCCATTGGAGTCCCCACCCCTGCCCCAACTCTGACCACCCAGGTACCTGGAAGGTAGCTCATTCATAGGGCTCATGGGGTTCATGGAGGTCACTGGGTTCAAGGGGTTCATGGGGTTCATGGAGGTCATGGGGTTCAAGGCGTTCATGGGGTTCATGGAGGTCACGGGGTTCAAGGCGTTCATGGGGTTCACGGGCACCTCCTCCAATGGCTTCACATAGGCCTCGGGGAACCAGCCGCTCCTGCTGGGGAAGCAGAGGGTCCCCTAAGCAAAGGCCCAACAACGTGACCCAACCACCTTCCCGGGGGGCACACGAGCCCGGGCCCTGCGGGTGCGGCTTGCTCCAGGGCTGTGCCGAGGGCAGCGCATGTCACCCCTTGAAGGTCTTTCTCAGCATTCAAGGCCACCAGCCAGCCTCGCGTCCCCCAGGCTCGGGCTCCTTAAGAGGAGGGACTGGAGGTCCGGAAGGAAAGCAACGTGTCCAAGGACTGGGGTCACCCCTTCAATCCCTGCTCACTCAGCACCCACCGTGAGGGCCCAGAGAGGCAGGCACAGTCCTCCTCCCCAGAGGCTCCTGGCCTGGCAGGGGACGGACCACAAGCATGATGACAGGGTGACAGCCAAGGGCAGGTCCAGCGGAAGGGACGCCCACGCCCAGGTGTCTGACCCCCGCCCTGCTCCCTCCTTCCCGGCCCAGCTGCTGCCCTCCGGCCCCGGTGCCCTGGGCAGCCTGCCTTTGGAGCCTTTGCCCGTTTAGGTCCTTCAAGGATTTCCCCTGCGAGTGACTGAGTGACTGTAAGGAGAGCAGCCAGCCTGCGAGGGCCCAGCATGGCCTCTGCCGCCTGGGAAGGCCACGCCCACCCCATCAGAGCCGGCTCCGGGGGACTGGGGCGCGGAGGGGAGCGTCCCTCCCTGGGTGTCGGGTGCACAGTAGGTGCTCGTAATAAGGTTCTGTAATGTTCCGCTCGAGTCTTCCGTTCCCCGCCTGTCCCACCTCTCACGGCCGCACCTGACCTTGGTAAGGAGGCTCTTGCTCCCTCATGGAGCGGAAGGGGAACCTCCATCAGGGACGTCTCG